CAATCACACAGGTGTTTTCACTTTTAGCTAATTAAACCTCTTTTCCAGCCTGCATGGGATTGACATCTCCACTCTCAGCTTTGTAGCACCTGTTACGCTGGGACAAAGTAGTAGCCTTTTTGTTTTTTATTTTGTTTTTCCCTTTATCATTCTTATTATTCCATGAAGTTTAGTTGATCTCAGGTCATTCCAACTCTAATTTTGAGCATTCAAGGCTGAGCAGCAGTGTTCTGTCGGTCTGTAAACCAAAGTGCTGTATATCCTTTAGCTACAGGCAGTTGCTCCAAATTGTTGGCTACACAAAAACTTACCAAGTAAAATATTTGTGAGTGGCACAGTTCAGCGAAAAAATAGGCAATCAGATGAAGTTACTCTTTTGACGTTGCTCCACACGTTTGAGGTGTCTCCATTGTCTTACTTCCAAGCTGGCAGGTGTGTCCTTGGATTTTTTTTGCCGTCGTAGAGCATCAGCCAACTTTTTACAAAGTTGGCTAATCTTTGTTGGCAATTTTGCCTCATACACCTTTTAGCACCTTGCTTCAACACAGTGTTCCCCAGATGCTTCATAGTGGTGAGTTAAAATCAATTGATTTTTGAAAAAATTTAAATGTTACTTTCAAATTTAACCTCAATTTTACAAGCACTTAGAACTCCACACTTGACCCATGTGTCATTGGTGTATTGGTGTCTGAGTGTGTTTGATTTTGGCTTATTGGGTCAAACCTTTCATTGATCCACGCTCTCAGGTCAGGTAGTCCAACACACACACACATACACACACACACACACACACACACACACACACACACACACACACACACACACACACGCACGCACGCTAGCCTCCACTCGTCCTAGGTAACCTGTGTAAACCCTGTATTGACCATGCAGCGTAGGGAGTGGAGAAGGGATGGAGAGAGAGCTTAAAAGTAACCTTAGGGGGGATAGTTTTTGCTAGCTTTAGTGTCATGGACATTTTGTAATTTGGCAAAACATACTAGGACACTGTAATAAACAATTCCCAAGTGATCTCAGTGTGTTTTTATAAAATTGTTTAGATTTAAAAACACATGTAAAATGATATATAATCCTAAGGAATGTAGCACATCATGATACATTTATTGTATTATTTGTGCCATGTACTGTGAGTGTGGACATGTTAATAGGCTGCACTTCTCATTTGAAGTGAGGAATTGCTGCAATATCTAATATAATTTTCTTTTGTTTAAAGGAACTTTATGAAATTGATATAGGAAAAAATGTAAAAAGAAATTGTTCAGGAACCAGTATCAAAGTCAAGGTATCGGTACCGGTAAGCTAGACACTCAAACTCAAGATTAACAACAAAATGGCACAACAACCAGTTTCACATGCCATAGTCAGTCCCTGTTCTGTACTTCTTCCCAAACCCAAATGAAGACATAATGAAGCCTTATTCCTTACACGGATGCATTTTTTGAGCGCAAGTATTCAAGCTCATTGATGGATGAAGGCATTTCTACATGAGGTTGTCAGCAACACAATCAAAGTAAAATGTGTGTTTTGACAGTAAGCTGAAACTGAAAAAAAAAAATGTGATGTTTATTAGCATCGTTATCTTTGAGTTTGTTAAGGTTGGTGACAGGATAGCTGATGAGAAGGTTAAATGTTACATTTACAACATGACAGGAGATGCATGCTGGTAGCAGTGCTCAATAGCTAAAAGTAATGGTTAACTTATTTCTTAAAGGATGGAAAATTTGAATTTGGTGTCTACATGGAAACATCTTGTAAGCCTACAATAAAGCACTAATCTTGAGGTCAGAAAAAAGGGTTGTGGCGTAAGAATAACAGGGTCAGAGTGGGCAACATGTAACTTTTCATTTGGCTGAAAATGGACAGATCATTGCCTTGGCACTTGACACGGTGACAGCCAATCTCAAGTTTCCGGTTTGCTTTTTGTTCTTACTCTCTGACATGCTCAAGGTTTTTACAGTACAGCACATCTGTCAGTCCCCCTCATTACTATGATTATAATTCTCTCTTCACTTCTGTCTCACATTCTCAATGGCCATTTCTCTCTTTGTCTCTCTCTGTGCTTTTGCTCTATGCAGTCTCACCTTTCTGTCTCACGTTCACCGCCCTCTCTCGTGCTCACGCAGTGCTGTCATTTTGTTTGGCAGGTCTTTGAGTTGAAGAGAACAGAGTCCCAAGTCCTCCTCTCTCTCATCTGGCTATCTTTCCTTTATTTCCACCTCTGCTTTTTAAGAGACTCAGCAAGGCTATTGAATTTGTCTACCCATTTTTCTTCCTGTCATTCTTTCAGATGTTCTTGTTTAAGAATCTCAATCCCCGCTGTTTATCTCAGACCTATTAGTCTTGTTCTACTTTCCCTAACAGACAGTTTTACCAAAAGTCAATAAGAATGTAAGCTATTTTTATTAATAAGTACATTTTTGGTATTTTTTTGTATCCTCCTCCCATCTCCACCTCTGTATCCACTTTTTTTCTTGTCTTCTTCATTGCCATCCCTGCAGGATGCTGCTGGACAATAATTATAAAAGGTTTGCACCAAAACAGCTTGACAGAAAAGTGACAAATGCTTCTAACTAATCATTATCAAATTAAAGGCGGTGTGGTTACATAACAAAACCAAGGTTTTATAATCATGACAGAAAGGTGTAAATTCAGTATTGAGACAGAGGAGGGGGTACTGGATGAGGAAAGTATATAAAAAAAGGGGAAGTCAAAAACAAGCAAGTTAGAAGGAAAGAGCAAAAAAAGTTATAAAAGTCAGATGAGGTTTGTTATAAGTGGAAAGATAGAACTAGACAATGAGAAAGTTGCACGTTAGATGAAGAAGTGTGAGATAACATGAATGTGTGAGATAGGCATCGTTGGGCTGAATAGTTGGTGAGATGTGGATGGGGACTGGGTCAGAAAAGTGCAATATTGTATAAGTCGATACCATCTCTCAGCCTGGTGAGGTAATTCTGGAGAGGAAGTGCACATATGTAGTACGTATATCTACGCACTTATTAGAAAATTGAAAATAAGTAAAAGATTTACCTGGGTATAATGAAATCTGAAGTATATAGAAAAAAATTTATATTTTCTTTTAATCCAGGTCATGGGAGATGCAAGATTGATATTATTATATTTACATGTAATATTATAGATACAAAGCACACAAAACGCTCCATAGTTGTTTTTGGATTTTTGAATGTATCTAATGTTTGAAGTCTATATGATTCAAATATAGTATATGGTTTGTTCACTTCTGTAATTATCTTGCTAAACTAAATGTTTCAGTATCACTATGGAGCTTTTACATGTATTCATTTGGTAGACGCATTTGTCCAAAGTGACGTACAAATGAGGTACAATCCAAGCCAGTATAGCAAGGAGAACCCTTCAAGAATAAGTGCCTCAACGTTCAGTTTCCTCCTGACACAAGTGCCACAGGCATTTCTCTTTTTTTTTTTTTTGGACAAAGCGCTACAGACGGATCAAGAGAGTGAGAGAAATAGAGTAATGAAAGCCTAATTTATCAAAAACCCAATGAAGAAACTTCCAGTGAAAATCTGCTTTAATCATCAGCTTGGCCTTGGAAAAAAAAAAAAAAAAAAGATGCCTTCACTGGACTTGTCTATATTAGCACCTGCGTAAGCTTTTAGTCTCAAGTGTTGGCATCACTTTGTGTTTTAGAAATAGATTTTCATAATGTTGCCTTTGTTGTTTTCCGCTTTTTTTGTGCAGAAGAGACAGCCAACAAATCAAAGTGCAGTGACTCACATCCGTGTGCGTGCACTTTTATATGGTTTGTGTCCGTTAGTAGCATGCATTTGTACGCTTATGTCTGTACGAGTGAGAGAGTATGTTGCACACTTGTGTGTTCCAGTGTAGCAGGAAGCCTCTGGCTTTACTGGTAAAGTCCCCTTTCTTTACTCTTAGCCACTATAGACATCACACACACATACATAAAGACACACACACATGCACGTCTATTCAGCTTTTACATGGAGGCCCCTAGAACACTGTGTTGACAAGCTCTGTCCTATGTTAGGCTAAACGCAGACTCAGTGCAAAACTCAATAGACAGGGATTCCACTATATAACACAGTTAGAGCTAGCAGGGTTTTGCACAGAGGCAAAGGGGAGACACGAATGGAGGCAGTTGTTCAAGAGTAGACGCACACTGTCACTGGAATGCTGGGCTCCTTGGACGTCCTCTATAGGGTCCTCATCCACAAGGTAACACAGAAATTGTGTACAAACAAAGCGACACAATTTCCTGAACACATGTTTTTTCTTGCTTAATTTAAAGAAATGCGACCGGTTGGGTGTATTGAAGTCTTGACATTAGCTACAAAGCTGTTCCTTTAGTTCTTGTGCATATTCTATAACTGTAGTAATAAACCTGTTAATGAGTGGAAAATATGGCCTCAGTCTTAAGTAGGCTGTTTGTAGTGGTGCTGCATAGGTTGGATCTGAAAATGGTTGCCTCTGTTAGCATATTTCTTTTACTTTGTTTGCATTTATGTTACCTCTCTAACTGTTGCCTTGCATTGTACTGGATAATGTAACTGAGTGGCAGTGAATGAAGAAAATTGGAGCGCTTTTCTTTCAGTGTGAGTGGAGAGAAGGGAATAGCAAATAGAAAACCTGGAGTTACTGAGTGGAGTTATATAAGAATATTTGAATAGAATTCCTGCTGCTCTGCTGATCGAATACTGAGTACATAATAGTTGTCCATCTATATATAAAAAGTTGCATATAATGTACATAGAAGTCTAATTCTATTTTTTCTATTTTCATTGTATCTTGTATTTTTCTATTCTATATATTTTATTTAATGTGTTTCTTATCTGTTGTGTTGTATCTAGAGCTGCTGTAGCAAGTGATTTCCTCATGTGGGATTAATAAAGTCTCTTATCTTATCTTTTGAAAAGAACAGAAGAAAAATTTAGGAAAGAAAAAAATAAGTAATAATGTGTGTTGCTTTTTCTTTTTCTTTTTAGCTGATGGCGGTGTATGAGGAACAGGAAGCCCAGCAGAGGGGCCTGGCTAACACAAGCCTTGCCCCAAGCCCAGACCTCTACCAGTCTGAGCTCTCTGTCTTCCAGCCAATCACAGGAGGCGAAATTGAAGTCAATTCCTCAACCCTCAAGTCTAGTAAGTCCTGTTTCATTTATTTAATGTATATTTATGTTGATATTGCCACCCTTGGCATGACATTTCCCCCTCTTTATAAACAAGTGCATGCCCCTAAAATCAAATCAAAGAAAGTCTTAATGTTTGAAGTAATTCAGAGCTACATTTTGATATTTGTATGATTTACATGTTGACATTTGGTGGCTATTCTCTGCATACACTTTACTTTTGAAATATTTAAATATGTAAATTATGTTCATGATGTTTGCCCATTTTTTGGTTTAAACAAGGCATGCACCATTGGGATATTTTGGACTAATATTGATGTTTAAAATAACAATTTGGCAGATGCTGATGTTCTTTTGTTGTTATTTATTTGCCCTTTGGGAAACAAAGAAATCAACAATGTCTGACTTGTTGTAGCTCAGTCTATTTCTTTTCTCATCCAAGATGTGAGACAGCCATCATTGTCCATGCTGGTGCATGGAGCACATTGGTATTTGCGTACAATTTGTGCCAGTGCTGGAAAACGGATTGCTTCTCCAATATCCAAGTTAGAACTAAACACAAAATTTAGCCAGCGCAAAATTGATGCAACACAACAGAGAACATTATCCACTAATATCTGTGAATGTCAACTTATTTGCAGCTTGGCTGATGTCAGTCATCAAGGTGAATATTGGCAGATACTGATGTTTGGCTGATATATCATGTATCCCTAATTTTAACTATATTAATCTCAGCCACAGTGTGACAGTTATAATGTAGTAGCTCTCTGTTCTCTGTAAGAGCAATGACCTTAACAGGCTCTGGCATTTTCACGTCACAAAATTCTGTCCAAACTAGATAAGACAAGAAGTATTGCGCCTATGCAGACAAGGCGGTTGTGGTTGCCAGAGTTAACATGGGCTGGATGTTAACTCTGGCAACCAAAACTGCCTTGTGTCTGTCCCCTCTGGCTCTGAGAGACCAAACACTCTGACAAGGTTGGGACACTGTTATAAAAAAGTCATAACTCTAGCAACACTGTGCTGCTGGATTTTTGACCTCTTCTGACTTTTTCCCCACTCCATGCACCTCGGAAGTAGGTGCAGTAATCCCTACTCTGCTTCTGGGACTGGAACTCTGATGTTTAGTGACACACTAAATGCTGTTTCAAAGACTCTGAATTTACAAAGAAAAAAAGTCATTTGGGGATTTTACCTCTTAGGTGTAACCTGAAGGTCAATGCATAAAGAGCGTCAATGTCACAACTGATGTCAAACAAGAAACTGCTTCAGTCTGTAAATTGAAGCATAGAAGAAAGTAAGAAATAATGAAGTAGTACACATTGACATTACATAATGGCTTATTTGGTACCATATATTCTTTATTTCAGAGCCGTGCTACATATGTTTTGTGACAATAGGCATGATATTAACTTTGAAATACCGTACAGATAAAGGTCAGGATGTGATGGCCATTTTTGGCAGGACAGTGATGAAAACAAGATGAGGACAGCTGAAATGTTGGCAGCACTGTCTAAGAGATGCAGAATGAGATGGGGATGAAAGAGAATCAGATGAGGAGAAGCAGAAGAAAGAGAAGACAGGAAGTGTATGTGTAATGTCAAGCAGCAGAACAAACTGATGTCTGTGTCTGCTTACTGTTACCTGGAATAGACCTATCTGAATGACCTTTCTTCCTCTCTTTCCTGGTCGCTCTTTCTCTCCTTTCCTTCATCTCTTTCTGTCTTTTTTCAAGTCAAGTGGCTGTTCAGTAGAGGCACCGTAGATGTGAGTGTGAGAGGGCTTAGGGCTGTCACAGTAACTTGCCCAAATTTAATTTTGCCTTAACACAACACCACCGTGTGTGATGGATTGTGTGTACCGACAGCTCGCCAAAACCTATGCATTACTTCCAGTTGCCTCCTGCTTTCAGTTAATCATTCCACTTCCTTTAGTTATGAATTGTAGACTCTATATCTGCTTTCTTGCACAGTCTGTACCATCCAACGCTTGACATTTAAACATAATCAGTCAAGGTTGTTTTCAAAATGTCATTAATATGTCAAATGAACTGTGATAATGCTTCTCCATCTATTGTAAGTTGCATTCTATCAGCAAGTTTCATTATTTCCCATTGTTGTTTTTGATGATACTGTTGAAATTTCTCAGTCAACTTGAAGGATGTTAAGCAGTTTATGGACTCCACGCTGAATCAAAAATCATGAGCACAATCAGCACAGTAATATTATTTTCCTCTTCTTGCATTAGCCCTAATCACATACTTCACATACTGTATATGTTACAGCAAAAATCATGTATCTCGCATTCGTGTTACTGAGAAGAGAATTGACATTTCAGCTTGTTTGACCTTCCTGAGTCGTGCAGGGACATTAACTGTATGATCCAGACACTGTTAAGACAGGAAGTTTAGTCTGTTTCAGTATGGTTGCCTGTCAGCTGAGATTACTAGTAATGTGTGACTGTCATGGTAGATTAGAGGTAACGGAGCTCTGTTGAGTATCACTGTCAGTGTAAGAAGGCCAGACTTAGGCCTCTATCGCTGTCTAATGTTTTACCTCTGACTCTAACCAGTTGTTTCTCTCTCACTGTCTCATCCCCTTTTCTCTACGGTTCATTGTTGCTGCTTCCAACTGTCTTTTTCTGTCTTTTACCGCAATTGCTTTCCAGTTTTTGTTAACAGACTTTCGATTTATCTGACTTCCCTTGTGTCCTCTGTCTCTCTGCTGCTGAGTTTTTCTGTACCTTTTAGGGATTTAGGATTGAGCTTTCTGATGACACTGTTATAGTATATGATCAGATAATTAGTAATGAAACCCAAATGGTCATTTACATGGTGCATATTTTAGGCTCACTATTAACAACTAGCTCACTTAGTGTTTCACACTTGAATCTCCATGAAGGACTCAGAAACAGAGGTATAGTATAGTTGATGAGCACCACTACTCAGGAATAAGAATTAAAGTGAAGTAATTCACTAGGATACTTAATCAGCATTATGGACAGGGAAGGGTTTCTCATTGTAGTCAGAGGCCTCTGATTATAGTGTTTTTTTGAGTACTACAGACCATAGCTCATGTAGCTGCCTTAATTGTTATTGTGACTAGAAGTTTTTTGCATAATGAAAGGGATGCAGAAATGTCAAATACTGTATCTTATATACACATTGGCTAGGCTGCAATATTTTGACAAAGTCTGATTTAGACCTTTTTCACAGGGACATTTTGACATGTCAGAGTGGTAAAAGCACATTATTGCTGAATTACATTTAGTTGCTCGAGTTTCAGGGTCCTGATATTGCTTATACTAGCTCACTGTAACATTACAATGACTTACTGTGTTAATGTTATTAGTAACGCCTGTGCTATTCCTACCTTTATTACAACCATGCAATGGTTTTTATTATTTGCTTTTAAAATATATTTACCATTAGTAAAATCTTGAGAAAGTCATGACCCAGTATGTTGCAGCATTTATTGTTAATTGATCACACAACACAGACATATGTGTAACTGAACTGTTATGTAGTATATAAATCCAGGAAAAGACAACATTTAAGATATTCCTATAACAACTACAACAAAGTATTCAGAAGCTTATCATGCTATCAATACTATATTGACATATAGTCTAGCTCTATATAGTATTATTACTGCAGGGAAACAGAGGCTAGTGGGGATTACTAGGTGATCTAAAACTGATATTGCTTTCTTCAAGCATTGATCTTTGAATGCCTTCGGGCATATGGACAGAACAGTAGCACTGTTTTTCCCTTGGTAGTCATTGGTGTCTATTGTAATGTGCCACTGGACATCAGCAGCATCTGCTTTCATACAATGAAAAATCTTTTACAAGATCATCTCTGGTTTTGTGTCTGGACATACCTGCTTCAGTCTAAAAGTGGGATGGTGTTACAGTGAAGTGAAATACAGTAGTATAGAATTAAATTTAAAAGTCTTTTAGCAAACATTTTTCTGTTGATTTGTGTATTTGTCTTATTTTTTATTGCACACATTTGTATCTCACTGACTATTTTTTCGTGTGTCCGTCCTTTCATCTCCATCTGTTTCTCATTGCACATCTTTTGTCCTCTATCCATTTTTCCCTCCTCACATTGCCTTTCTTTGAAGAGATGAATTGATTAGGGTTTCATGTAATCCATAACCCCCAGCCAGTCTTAAGAGCACCAAGGGTCCATTTTGTGACAATCAATATATGACCCTACAAATATCATTTGGCATGTGTTCTGAGTAGTCCACTCATTTAGAGGTTTCCTCCACCCTCACCCCACCTTTTTGTTTTATTCCCAATGGAACTATAGAGGCTAACATGACAGTGCTCTTAATGTATATATGGATTGATGGGACCTATGAATGTGGATGGTAGATATGAGGATTGACATAGTACCACACAGACCATAATAAAACCTACAATAATAAATATCATTTATTTGCAGAGCTTTCTGCAGTGTTGACTTTTCTCACCATTTCACTGTTTCGTCAAGCTCCAGCACAGGCAATAGTGTGGTGTGCTTCATCCATCAGCTTCTGGTAAATGATGATTTTATGCAGTGGGCTGATGAGATGTGAAGAGGGAGACACTATCATATGTTACCTACATGCACGCAGAGATCTGCAAATCAGCCACTTATTGGCCATTGGGACGCATGAACACCAGCGTATTCACTGAAGGGATATTAAAGGAAAGGATCATACATTAACCCCTCACACGCTCAGGCTGTTAGATCGGCTTCTTACATACCTAATGAACATATGGAGCGATGCATTCACACATCTCCAAAACAACATTTAGGAATGAGCTTTCTAATTACGCTGTTTTAATCAGTATTTAATCAACAGATATGGACATACATATGCTGTGATGGCTGATGAGTTTTGACTATAAGTACTAATTAAATCATACATTTCATTTGTGGTGAATATTTAAGGATCGTGCTTTCTTTCTTGCTGTTTCTATCTTCTATCCACTGACCACCAGTCCTCACACCGTCTCATTTTTTATTTATTTTAAAGTTAAAAATGGTAGATGTATACGGAGCCCCCCTGGTGACATTGGATAAAAAAAAAAAATCTTGTGGCCACAAGATAGTTAATGCGTGGCCACGAGATAGTAACGCGTGGGCACCAGATAATTATTGCTGTCATTTCCATGCAGAGACTGTTGATTGTTAAAATGGACAAGTTTGAATTAATTTCATTTTATTTTAATATAGGAATGAATTACAATGACATACTTCAGTCACTTGCGGTTAGGCATGAAGTAATTCTTAATTCTAATAACAACGCGTTACTATCTTGTGCCCACGAGATAGTAACACCTTGGCACGAGATAGTTATTGCGTGGCCACGAGATAGCAATGTGTGGCCATGCATTCTTTTTTTTTTTATCCAACGTCACTAGGGGGGCTCCGTAGATGTATGTGAGTTTCCATGGAAATATGGTTCTATAAGCTTTGTCTTAGATTAGTTCTAGCTACTGTTGTTGTGAAAGGCTTGTCTATTTCAAATCTGCAGCTGCCCCAATAAATACATATGGATATGTAGACACATTTATATTTACGTTTAATACAATACAGTACACCTCCCTGGCTCAACGAGCAAGAGAGAGCAGCAGTGGCTTAGTGAGCTAGAGAGTGAATGAAGAGAGGGAGCAGCATTTGCGAGAACAAAGCAAATCAAAAATGTAACATTGTTTTCTGATTGTTTCAGGGCGATTGCGTTCTAAAACACAATTAAACATGACCATACCTCTGCACAGCCCTGTGGGAAGGCGCCACATTACTGTATTTTGTGTGCTACAGCTAAGACCACGCTTCATCCTGTCCACTGTATCCTCTCTCTGCTCTGTATGCCCTCGGTCAAACAGACCCGCAGCTCTTTATACATCCATGACACAGACAGAGAGCAGAGAAGAGAGGTGGAGACAGCAACGTAACCTGGTCGCTATTTTTTCTATAGAGTCCTGACCTCACACCCTGCATGCTGGCCAAAAGTTGACACCTAGGAACTTCAGAAACACAGCAAAATAATAATAATTGTTTTTAGGAAAATCCTACTAATTATGCTTTAAACAAATTTTATGATATTTTTTTTATTGTACTGAATGTTGGAATGTCTTGCTGTTTTGTTTGAAAGCGCACTGACTTGGACTGAAGTCAGAGGCACATTGCAGTGAGACAGTGGAAATTTATTTTGTCAACCCAACATAAAAAAATATTCATCTCTCTTTGTTCCTCATCGTGCTTTGACACTTGTAACGAAACACATTCAAACTCCTTTCTGTAGTGTGGCTTAGGGCCTGTATCTTGTCATCTAAAAGATTATTATTAGACATGAATTTTGCTGAACTGTGACTCCATCAAAATAGCATTAGCGATTTTAAGGCAGTCGTGTGTGTGTGTGTGTGTATATATGTGTGTGTGTTTGTGTGTGTATACACGCATATTGTGCATCAGAGACTGGCTGTAGATTCTGAAGCAGTGCAGACTTAGACTTTCTATTTTCTCACCATTCTTGCATTATTCTTTCCTCTCTGCCATATCTCTTGTTCCATTAACAGTCTCATAGGAAGTAGTCACGCTGTGTCATATTGGACTGTCAGAGAGCTAGGTTCCCCTGTTTCTTTTAGCAGATTGAATGTGGATTAAAAAACAACAACCATTAAATAACATTTTAGAATTGGGAGTTATTAATATTGTTGTAAGTCACATTATTTTTCTGCTGCTAAAACTTCTGTTTAGTTAATGTTTGGTGGTATGTCGTCAAATTCCTCCTGCACATACCATCTGTAAACAAAGGAATTAGAAAAAGTGGTTGATTTACAGGTTGTAGAACATCTACTTTAAACATTTTTAGCAGTTATCCAGTGTATACAGACGTACTGTATAAACACACACATCTCTGCTTCTGCTTAAAGTAATCCTTTTCAACTCCTCCTAGCTGCACAATTATGTTTGTAAGGTCGTTCATATGCAGTTTGGTGACTTTGAATCATGTTGTGGATATTTGCCATTGATGCCATTGATCTTAAGGTATCCGTCCGCGTAGGCTCAATGCTACCTGCACATATCAGATGTGTGTGTGTCCTTTTTTTACAGACACCCCCCTGTTGGTGAGAAGCAGCAGTGACTCAGCCCTCGGCCCCCAACCGACAGAGACTGAACCCTCACTCAATGAGGACACTGCCGTGATGGTAAGACCCTGAGGCACTCAGATAAAAAGACACACAGACACATACAGTTTGAAACACACCACTTACACAGTGTACACACCAATCATACACAAAGATGAAATGAAACACATAGAAACATTCTCCCCATATGACTGACAGATGCTTTGGTGAGAACGGACACACAAACTTATAATGTAGCCAGCATCTGTCAGCATAAAATAATCACTATGGAATCAATTCTAAAAGTTCCAGAAAATGTCCCATTATTTTTTTTTCATCTTTAAATTTAATTTGGTTTCTTCTTGATATTTTTCACTACTTTTTGTCCCACCATCAACAGAATGGCCTTAGAATGGTGTTTCTTGGTGTCGTGGTGACTTTTTTTTGTGGATCTGTTAGAGGGAGATTCTTAATGATTTTTGTGACCCACTCAGCTTATGTCAAGCACCAGCGTTGGGTCAACATTTCCACTTGGGCAGAAAAAAGCCCAGAAGAATCTAAATGGAACATTTATTGAGGACATTCATTCTCCGCAGAGAGTAAACCTACTGGACTTACTATAAACTTTCCTCTAGTATCAACAAGAGACAACAACAATACCTGGTTTGCATTTTCATTAGCAATAATCATATAATACCTTTTTAAGAAGTGTAAAAGACAAACTGATTTGTGTCATGAAATTTCTTTCGTCATGTCTTATGGTCAGCTTCTCTGTTCAAAAGCTTTTGTAAGATATTGAATTAGTATGATGAATCCTCACGAACACTATGAGCTTTCCTCTGTGCTAATCTAATAGGCAGGTTGCCATGAAAAATGTTAAGCACATAAATACTCCCAAGGGGAAAAACACTTTGATTTCAATGACCCCATGGCCTCTCCTCTAGGATTCCCAAGATGCCACTGCTGGCAATGTTCAGAGCATAGCAAATTGTTGATACAGTCTTTTATACTTAATGTTACTACTTGAAGAATCAATAAAGGTCATTGTTTCTTCTGTTGGAGACATAAATAAAAAGCACTTCCTAAAGCCCAGCCATAACCAAAGATTTGTAGTGAGCCTAAATAATGAAATAAAGAATATGGGATTTTCATTTGTATCAGGCCTTGTTCTGTATCTCAGAAAGCCTCACATATACTGTCCATATATTGTACATAGTGTGCAGATTTGTAATTTGGGAGAAACTTAAATTCAGATGAGCATTAAGAGTAAATTCATAGATATCAGATGAACACTGATTAGATTAGTTTATTGAGCAACACCTAAGTATTAGTTGTACTTACTTAGTTTACTGTTTTCTTTTATTATGTATCTCTGATACCTATGAGAAAAAAGTAAATACATACATTTTTATCACAACCAACCAGTTTAACATTGAATTAAATATCTGATAAAACAAGTAATAAGATTTTTGTTGTAAGTATAATCCTGACATATGCCAGCAGTGTGTTTATGTGTGTAGTGGATATATCTGTTTAAGGTTTGGGGGTGAGTGGAGCCTGCAGCGTCTTCATGCTCTTCTAATCCAGACATGCTTTGTCACATCAAACTCCACTAACAAAGATGGACGACTGAATCACCATGTTTTCTTCTCTCTCTTCACCCTTTCACTCCCTTTCTCAAAAGGGCAGAGTGCAAACACTTGCTTCTTTTCTCCCTTTTCTTAGCTGCTTCTTCCTCCCCCTTTTACTCTCCTCCTTTCTTATATTTCTTATTTTCAACATTTTGGTCAACAGTAGTCGTGTTAAACCAGCGTGACGTAAAATAACATCCAAAAGGGACAATGGTGAGTTTTGAGCATCCAGATGTAGTGAAATGACTACAACAGACACAGATGTCATTCTCTAATAACTGATAGGAGTTAGGACATAGATATATTACATAATTATCACCCCTAAATGTTTTTTCTGTCCATTCTATGAAAGTAAAACACAAAATACTCTCCTATTCCTCCTTAACAAACCTTCCCTACCAATTATTCATCTCTGAGGTGATACTTCTTATGTGTTTTTTAAATAAAACACGACCTTTTCACTAATTTAGTCACAGAGTCAGGCACACAGATATGCAATGACTTATATAGTAATACATATTATTATGATAGTGTGTCAGTTGTGTAGAGAAGTAGTTTTGATTGCTTGTTATGATAGTGTTACTCCACGCCTGATTGGACTCTTGAGTGGTGAGCCCTCTTCCCTTGGGATTCTTCACTGGACAAACATCCTTTTTTATCCACACCATATTCCCTGTAGAGCGACATGTATGCAGGGTTCAGTTCTTTTGGGGAATGTGATTGGTACTCAGAGGTGGCCACTCTCCCTGCTTAACGTTGCTGAGGCTGGTGAAGTAGTAGTAGATCAGGACTGCATAGGGAGGAATATACACTGCGTACTAATAACATTTCTAGTGACTTAGCATATTTGTTACTATATATCAGGTATATTTGCCACAAAGTTTAACAAAAAAATGCTTGGTGTATTCTCTTGTTAACTGTTTGATGATTTTATCCAACCATGCATCCATGCAGCTTAAAGCTTCTTCAGTCTGTTTTAATTAGCAACCTACAGCTACATGAAACACAATTTAGCAGATATGAAACCTGCATGCGCTTGTCACTAATAAATGTAAACTTCCAACACTAATCTATTTACTTTTTTTGCTGAAATGTAAACCAAAGCTTAGGAGTGTAGCTCATGTTGTTCTGAGCCCACCTTGCACTCCTTACATCTCAGATCAGTTTTCACTGCACACTATCACTCCTGTGGCTGTCAGATTCAAAATATTCCTGGGTGTCAGTTACACAGTAGGCCTGTCCAGACTGTGCGTTTGGGTGTTTATCTGTTCAAGCACCTGCATGATAGCATGCATATATGTGACCTTAAGCACGCCAGCTGTGGACTCGCTTTTTTACAGTTCATACTAGCTACTCGGGTTTCCATGCTTTCTAATTTTTCACATAACATTACAGCTTTGATCAGGACAATTGCTCTCTAACTTATTTTAGTCATAGTTATAGTAGACTTGAATTAAAACTACTATTACATGGTTTTGTGCTGGTTAGTAATCTACACAGTGTTGTGTTAAATGGCTATCACCGCCTGAAACTGAAACCATTATAGCTTTGTAATAAAATAGGTTCAGCTGTGAGTTTTCATGTAGAGTTCAAAATTGAGGGAACAAAGTCCCAGATAGAAGAAGCGATCATATTAGCAGGGTTCCCACAGTCCTTACATTTCTGGAAAAGTTATTTATAATTATTTCCAGGCTTGGAAGTGGATTTGAATTAACTGATGTTTTTGCAGAAGTTTTGAATATGCATTGTTTTGCTTATTATTTAAAATATGTTAAAATATTTTCCTTATATTACTAATTTAAAATCTAGTGTGACTGAAATGTCACTGTATCATGTCATACACATAGGCATATGCAGCTAGTCTGTTTGTTAACTGTGGGCCACAAGTTGAGCCATGTTTTTTTAACCTGTATTTGTTTTAATTTATCCAAATTAATTCTGTGAATAGCATGCTGAATTAGCTATTAGCTTATCCTGTTTGAAATGTCCCACTGCATTTGATACTGAAGAAAACTTAAAAATGTGATAATTCTCAGGCAAGCTGTGTTAACATGTTTTGTAGTTAGTCACCAATAAACCACAAATAAGTGAAGTTAGCTTAGAATTAAAATAAAAATGTATTGTCGTTTGAGTGGGGCGTCTCTCCAAACTTTGAGCCACCATCTTTTGACCATGTGAAAGCTGTATCTTCAACCATGGAATTATCAGCTTCACCAATCAGCCTTTGCTTAGTCACAATAAGCTTTTTTTATTGGAAAGTTTTAGTAAGCTGTTATCACCATCTCTCTCATTTTTAGAGATCTTGACAGTGGAGTCATAACAATAGTCCCAATAACTTTAGAAAAATTCCTGCTGTGATTGGCCTATTCTGGTGCGTTAAATAATATGCTGAAAGAGAGCAGACAGTAATTTTCCTTTGTTTTTCAGCAATCAGATCCTTCCCACTACTCAGACCTCCATTTGTGAATAATTTTAACTCGGACAAGTTGTATAAATGAGGGCTTACCATCCAACAAGTGTCAACAAGAAATCTATCTTGTCATAATTTCTCACATGTACAACAGCAGCCACAGATTTAAGTTTTTCTAGCAGTGCAAGAGGAGCGTTGTGTATTTGGTTACAACGTTATCTACCTTAGTATGTACTAAAATTGACTCTAGTTTTACTGAGGAACTTCTTGCATCAACTCGGTAGTTTTTTTCCTTCATTTATTCCATTTGTTCATGCTGATTTATATTAAGCACTGTATTTCACTGTCATATTGATAGCAGCACTGAGTGATTATATTATATCCAGCGAGTAATCAGTATATTAACAGATGCGTCTTATTTGGGGGAGAAAAGGAGTATTCACAGTGGCGATGTATAAATTACATAGTTCAGTCCAGTCATTACAGCATAAGTGTTAAAAATCTCCCTGTTTTTCTTTCTGTCAGCTTGATGCTCGTCAGTGCCTCCCATCTTTCCTCTGTCTGTGCTTTTCAGTCTCACACCTGCTGTGCTGCAATAACTACCACAAGTGTTAGAGTGGTAAATGACTCTGTGACTACTGTAAATAAAGGAATTATCTTTCTGTTTTTTTCCGTCATCTTCCTCATACATTATTTTCTCAGTCACTGTTGCAGTCTTTTTATGACTCCTTCATTGTCCCTCGCTCTCTCACTCACATACTCATTCACACACACACACACAGACACACACTCTCACACTCACACTTAGTAACTTGCTCATAGGTCTGTCTCTTCTCAACCAGCCAGGTTCAGATAGAGGTAATGGCTCCGGGTAATTGTTCAAATTGTCACTTGGCCTTTTGGTGAGAGCGATGAGGGGAAGAAAGTACTCTTCTTGCAGTAATTCTCTGTCTTTCTTCTCTCTCTGTCTTTTCTCCTACTCTCTGTCCCCTCTCTTTATTTAATTTCAATCCAGAAAGATTTACTGGTGCAGCTCTTCCGTTCTAAATGCCAGGCACAAATGAGTACAGTATGCCACAAAAATCCTCTCTCTTCCTCTCATGCTTACAACACGCGCACACACACGCACACACACGCACACACACGCACACACACGCACACACACACACACACACACACACACACACACACACACACACACACACACACACACACACACACGTGCAGAGTTGCTGGTTAATTACAATGTGTTAATCAGACTGGGAGTATTTGTTCTTGCCTAGAATACCACTGGGGCTAATAAGGCTGTACAGCACTTATTTATCATGTTATACCTGGGTGTGTGTGTGTGTTCATCTCCCTCTTTGTGTGTGTGATGGCTTTTTTGCCCTCAGCCTGCTTGTATGTTTGTCAGTGAAGCAATAGAAGCAAACAGGCAGGTAGGCCAGCTTGATGAGCTTGTTAGAGGCCTGCAGCAGCCACAGGAACCACATTATTATTATTTTTTCTGAGAGCATTTCATTTACTGATTAGTATGCTGATTGTTACTTAATTATTTAAGCAAAAAAGCAAATCAAAAGCATGCCACATTGTCCTTGTGTCATTTGTCCTTAAACTGGTACACTGTAATGGTTCATATATAGGAAGTTAAGAGGTGTAGCCATTGCTATTCTAAACAAATGAACAAAATGTATTCAATAGAAATGTTATATAATATTTTATAATATTGTTTACTTCTCCAGACCTCTGGCCCCTTGACATTCAATTCATGAGCCATATGTCCAAAGAGATATTTCAAGATAGATTACCTTAGGTGTATCAATCAGGAACACACACACACACAAACAAACCACAACATACAGATACACACAAACACACAAACTTTCCCGCATGCATTACTGTTCATTTATCATACTCACTCTGGGAGTGTTTTCAGGGAACACTTAGCTTAATTGGTTATTCAGTAATTAGTAATATCACTAATAGTTCACTCTTTTTCTCCGCTTTTAGCAATTATTGGATTGGGCCGAGAAGACTAAATGCTTGCGGCCCATTTATTATAAGCATAGTTATTCAAGGTAGGATTATCCATCATTGAGTTAAAATGGAAATTCTGCTTCTGTGTTCTCCAGTTTTTGGAGGGCCACTAATGCTCACAAGTATCGATTGAGCTGTCCAAGGTCGGCAGACTAATGCATTAATTTTTTTCCCCCGCAGTTGTCCTCTGTTTCTCATACATCTTTGTAATTTAATAGATATATTTCAGATTTTTCCTCAAATAAAGCATCAAGTCTTTTAAATCCAGTTAGATTTGACTTCATTGAGAAACAGTATAGAAAATTAATATTTCTTTATGGAGCTGTTTGTGGTACTTTATATTTTGATTTAGTAGTATTATTAATTACTTTAATAATCAGTGTTATTAAAGGTGCACAATGTTTCAGAAAGTTCGGTATGTGTAATTGGTTTTACATGGCATGTTGGATATCATTGGCTAGGAAATTAAATAATAAAGTTTTAAGCTTTTTCAAGCCGAAACGATAAAAAACCATTACAAAATGTATATTTTGCTATATTAGTATGCTATTGTAAGGTTAATTTGAATAATGAGACCCATGTATGTGTTCAGATTCATTTGCGTGTTCTAAATTACCCTTTGATAAGTAATGTACGTTGCTGGCCTGTAATTAATACAACGCTCTGAGAGAGAGAGAGAGAGAGAGAGAGAGAGAGAGACTGTTTCTGCTAGCAGTTATTAAATGAGACGTACAATTAAGCACCAAAGACTTTCCAATTAATGTATGAGTGGCTGTTGTTATGACAAAGAGGTTAGGATAATTAATGTTACCTGTCATCCTGTTGTAATTAAGCTCATATGACAGCATCTGCAGCTAGGCTATACTAATTGATTTCCAAGCCACCAATTCCCAAACATATGGTTACAGTATGTGCAGTCTGTCATTCATTGTTGAGTCTTCCTTTCACCTTCATCCTACTCCTCTCATAAGCCACTACCTCTGATTTTTTTTTTCTTTCTTTATGTTTCTCTGCCTAGCCTGAGTCTTGTCAGCTCTCTGATGTCTTTCTCATGTTTTCTCTCTTCGCTGCTCATCTGTCTTGCTTTGCTTTCTCTCTGTCCTTCCCTCTCCCCTCCTCTGACAGGTGGTGTAGGTCATATGGCTATAGGGTGAGAAGTCAAAGGTGAAAGGTCATGTTAAGAGTCCATTAGTGCCTACTACTAACATTGATCTTTATTGACCTGTGTGTATTTGTCTGCATATGCTCATACAAACATGTGCGCACATGAGCTCAGATATGCACATGTGTATTTGAACATGCAGATTAGGCCTGAATGGTTATTCCATTATTTTGCCTATTCTGATATAGTATATGTCAGAATTCATGCTTGAGGCAGAAAAGTCCTTTCATTTTCAAAATAATATAATTGAATAATTTAAATCAGAGTCAAGGGTATTTATTATTTTGCTCTTTTGTCAATGTTCTTTTGATTTTCAGTATGGCACACATTCATTACAACAAGCCCGCCAATAGCAACAACCTCACTCAATAGTATGTTGGTCAGTTCATCACAGTAGTCTAGATAAGGATGGTACTTTTTAAATGTTACTTTTCATTCGTGTTGCTTGCTGGTCAAATTGTAATCAAGCTTTAGTTTTTTAAAAGTGCTAACAGAGTAATTGTTTAAAAAGTAACTCTGAGGGTCGCCCTGGTAGCAGAGACGGCAGCTGTGTACCAAGGCCGAGTCCTTGCTGCAGCGGCCATGGGTTGGGGTCTGACCTATGACCCCTTTGCTGTATGTCATCCCTTCTATCCCTCCCCCTTTGCTCTGAATCTTGAGCTGTCCTATCAAATAACAAATGTCTTATTTATCTTAGAATATGCATAATTAACCACAGGCACATTTTCAATAAGATAAAAGCACCCCTCAATAGGGTTGCAAAGGGGCGGACATTTTCCGGTAAATATCAGGAAACTTTTCATGGAAAGATAAACTAGGGAAATTTGGAAACATTCCAATTTGGAAACTTTCGTTGGAATTAATGGGAATTTAGGAGAATTAACTGGAAAAGTTGGGTAATTCATACAATATTGAAATGTATTTTCTTTGTATTTGTACTACGTTGGTCGTTTTAGTGTCATTTTAAATGCTCTCACATACTTGTTTACATTGCTGCTTTAGTCCGGTCACCAATGTATGCATTGCACGGTGTTACTGTAATACAATGTAAAGTTTTGTTTTAGAGCTGGTTTGCTAAATAGGCTAATGTGGCTAACAATAACACTAGCCTGCCCCTGGTGGCCCCTGGTGGCCCCTGGTGGCTCGAGAGAAACACCACAGCACTTGTTGAAATTGAAATAGGCGAAAATGGCAAAATATTATTGAAATATAAGACTTACAATACCGGAATTACTTGAAATGTTAGTGTTTCTGTAGAAAAACATTATTATTTCACATTGAGCTTGTTTAGAAGAGCCACAAACAACAACAGCACAGCTGCTGCACTGGTGGCGTCCATGTTCTTTCCCGACTCGTAATGCCCAAAGACAAATGGAACGCTGTAAGTGGTACAAGCCAGGCAATTACGTCACGTTCTTGCGTCAGAGCAACTCGGGCGGGGGATTTACGAGACAAATGGATAGCACCACAAGTAGTAGCCCAAACCATTGACCTTTAGTTTAACATATGATGGTAGCTAGCATGCTGCCTTTGATTTACTATGGCTATGGTTATATGCGTACAATACAATTAACCCAAATAGTTTTAAGCAAGATTATCCGGCAAGATGTTTCATTTCAACTACATGTAAGTTCCCTGTTATAGACTAACAGTATTATAACAAGCAATATTAATTATTATTCCCGTATATTCCCGTTAATTCCCATGGACAGTTTCCAACTTTGAAAATTCCCGGAATTTTGCAACCCTACTCCTCAATGATTTTGCCTTGAAATGCAGAAACTAGCTGTCCTAGAAGTGACATCAGGACTTTGGGTCCCAATAAGCCGAACCAAACTATAAAAACTGAACATTTATTCTTGTTACAGTGGACTCACAAACATAGCAGCAAAGCACGCATAGCCTAGCATTGATAGGTTGTTGCAAAAGCACTACTGTAAGCTGTCATACCCGCAGGAATGTGTACGCACAGACACTGTCACATGTCGAGTATTCGATGATTCATCACCTATACCGTTGGGCATACAACCTCGTCCCTGTGGAGCTAACCTCTCCGTGCTTCTAACGCAAACACACACATGTACACACAATTCATGTGAGCCCTATGTCATTGTATGAAGTGATTATTACAGCTCCCTTGACTCACATTTACACTCTTATTTCTCACACCTCTCTCTCTCTCTCTCTCTCTCTCTGTTGCCATGCCTATTGACAGTGTTATTTATTACTGCTTGACGGCACTGTCTTCTTGTCTTAACATATTAATTGCTATATGTGCATTATCCATCTATCAGTCTAGCAGCTTGTTCACTCATCACTCATTCCCATTTATTCCCCTGTCTTTCAGATTGCAGAGAGGTACTCATTGAGCTCAGGATTTCATTTTGGGTGCAGTGTAGCAAAAGCCAAAATTAAAATAGGGGGAGTTCCTTAATTTCTCCACATAGTCACTCATTCACAGCTTTTTGTTTTTTTACGCCGTTTATTAGTAAATCCATCCACATGTCTCTCTGTATCCACATTCTCTTCTTTCTTTTTGCCTTCTATCTCAGACAATGTGAAGCTTGTGGTTCTGCTCCTTATATTGTCTCATTTCCAAATGCCACTCACTGACTAACAGGAAGGTGTTCTGTGTGTTTTCTCTGCAGGCAGCCAGTCCCGCTGTGGAGAGGCCAGCAGGGGTAGATCGACCCCAAGGCAAACACACCTTCAATGGCAGGTCAGTGTGTGTGTGTGTGTGTGTGTGTGTGTGTGTGTGTGTGTGTGTGTGTGTGTGTGTGTGTGTGTGTGTGTGTGTGTGTGTGTGTGTGTGTGTGTGTGTGTGTGTGTGATTGTAACTTTAATACTACTACCACCTATGTATGTTTTGTAGTTGTGAGGATTGCTTTTTCATGTCCGTGTTTGTCTACATCCATGTTCACTGATGTTCATGTGCGTGTTTGTGTCCTACTTTTCCTTCATTAAATCTGGGATTTTAATCCAGATCAAGGCTCTTACAGATATGGTTAGTGTAAAGAGGCTCCATCATTAGCCCAGTACAAAAGCCTGCATAAAACAGGGTCACGGTCATAAACACACACATGCACACAACACACACAGACATTCATAGACTGCCATACACCCATGGCCTTAAAAAAAAAAGAAGCGACTACAAACACACTTGCATATATTTTTCTTCTTTTTTTTTTTCCAGGCAGATCCAACTGAACGCATAATACACATGCATACACTAATGAGTGCTGCTTAATTAAGTGTTAGGGCTGCAGAATTCCCTATGTCTCATGTGGGCCTCTTAAGCCTGTGTGTGTATGCTTATTTTGGCAGTTTGTGGGGCAGGGGGATGTGGGGGTAGGCATTCTAGCATGGAGCAAGGACAGTTACCATATATGTAACAAACACGCAGAACAATGCTGAATCTGTTTATTAGTAATCAGAATAAGGCATTACTCAGGTTAAGATGTTTGCATCTACTGATTCTAGTACCCATCTATTAATATTCGCTTTTCCATGTGTGCATAGTCCAGCTTAGCTTTTGATAGCTCTCTAAATTACATCTATATTTTCCTTCAGGATTCAGCCTCTGATAATGCATAACATTGCATTAAATATGCAGCTTTTGCTGTGTAATGTTTTATTCAGATTAATATTGTAGCCTAATATTATATTTCATAAAAAGTAATTATTTTATTCTGATCTAATAGTCCTATCTTTGACTGATTTTGCACTATAACTGAGGATTTGTAGCATTATTGATTCTTTTTTGTATCTCTTTAATGACTTATTATTGTAGTTTTGGACATCATTCCATACTGACTATTTACCACACTTACCAGTGTCATGTTAATAACATTTCTAATTGTGTGAGTGGTTGTGTTTTTTGTAGTTGTGATGTCTAACCTTGTCACAGAATAAATGCTTAAAACATCATGATAATTGTGATGTGACCCCAAAAGCATTATGTCTCAACCCAATTGTTCCATTATTGTCCCTGGCACAAGGGAAAATAACTAAATGTAATTTTCATTTTTCTCTTTTACTTGATGTTACCGCTTTCTCTCAGACAGAATATTAAAAATACTAACCTAAAGTGCCCACATAACCAAGCTGTAAATTTAAGAAAAGTGGCTTACATCATGTTACATCATTGATCAATGTGCTGCTCTGTCTGACAACCTTGACCTCTGTTAACAGATAGTGTATTACTCTGTTTTTTATATCAACAGGTCATTGTGAGCCTGCAATTAATCCACCTTTAATTCAAAGATACTAAAACAAATAATATGTAGTTAACCTGCAAAGAGGACATGTAGGGAGAGAGAGTTATGAGAGCACTATGTGGAGAGAATAATGTCTAACCTCAGCCTTAGCTGTTTTAGCCTCTCTCCATAGCAACCAGCTGCAACCACAGAGCACAGGCAAAGATTAGATCACACACACTCATATACACTCATATTCATCATGCACTACATGCAGGCGCTCTCCATGCAAGGTCTGCACAATAAGTGAGCTTTTGTTGTCTTTCTATTGAGTGTTGTCAGGATCAAATTACGACATTGAGTTACCGTGATACACAACCCTGTCACCTGCGTTTAACAGTGAGAGACACATTTTGATTAGAATAACTAAATGTGAACGTCTGAATCAAAGTGAATCAGAGAATATTGTTAGACAGTTTCAGTTTTATCACGCCTCATGGTACTATACAGTTCAATATCCTCTCATGTACACACACTCTCAACCACAAACCATCTCAGCTGTGAGTAATGTAAAAGTGATGTAATGGTTTTTGTGGTCGCCAGGGAAACGATCCTTGAAATTGCAGAAAAGTCTAAAATGAGTAGAGAAACGCAGCCATAAATATTGGAAAAGTAAAGCAGACGTCAAAGGAGTGTGTGTGTGTGTGTGTGTGTGTGTGTGTGTTTGTGTGTTTGTGTGTTTGCGCGTTTGCGCTATGTATGTTTCTATACACACTGTGGTCCTCCCTGTATTTGTGTATGTGTGCGAGTGTGTGTGCCTTTCGAGTGTGAAGGCTACACCTATAAATACAGTAATGGCTCATCATAATTTTAACCACACAGCACGGTCACCAGAAAACTCATTACCTTTGAATCAAAATGTGATTTTTATACAGGGAAACAGATTTACTGTAAATTGGTTTATTGAAATAGCATTGCGAGCATATTATATTTCTTTGTGAAATAAGGCACTGTATTGGAGGTGTTTTAGAAGCTAGGAGGTGAAAAGGTAAATGGGTTCCACTGCATGCAAACAGGATGTGAAACAGGTTGTCTAGGGGTACCATAGTCTATTCATATGTTATTTTGGGACGATGGTTTTGAGATATTCAGGTACCCATTAATCTATCTCTCTCCCTTTCTATATTCTTTTGTTTCTTCCCTTTATTCCCAGCCTTTTTTCTTCCTGATCTGTCTATTTCTACTTCTCCCACCTTATTAAGTTTAGTCAGCCAAAGTCTCTCCTCTTCAGTGTTTAAAGTACCAGTGTGTAGGATCCAGTGATATCTGAATACAGCTCAGCCTTCTAAGCGTGTAATAGAATCCACGGTGAGTGCGAAACTTGAAAAACATGAAAGGCCCTATCTAGAGCCAGTTACTACTGTAGAAACATGGCGGTTCAATATGGGGGCTTCTGTGAAAGAGGACCCGCTCCCTCTATAGATAAAAACTGCTCATTTTAAGTTAATGAAAACACAAGACATCTTATTTTCAGGTGATTATACATTAATGAAAACATACCTGTGAATATTATATTCCATTTCTGCCAATAGATCCTCCTAAATATTACTATACAAACTGGACCTAAACTATTACGTCTCTTTATTTCCCTTTACAGAGTTATTGTGGTAATATCATTTTGGTTATAAATCTTTGTACTCATTCATTCTTTAGATAACTATTATTTAGGGTGTTTTTTTTTTCATGTGTAAATGTGTTTGTGTATTTGCATACATACACCTTTAACGGTATTGTAAGTTTTTACTGGTTTGCATTCCTTTTACTTCCTACATCTCTTATGCTCTGCACTTTGAAGAACAGCTTAGGGAGAAAATGAGAGAGAGAGAGGGAGAGGGAGAAAGGGAGATGATAAATAAGAAGAGGGTGAAATACAGAGAGAGGAAGAGAGTGGTTTGGTAATGCACATCCTCCTCTTTTGTTATTTCTCCTCTGTGTTTCTGTCTTTCATAGTGAGGATCAGTGAAGTGGCAGGTGGATAAAGAGAACACCTGCTCTCTTCATCTCTCTCTGCTTCTCTCCCACTCTGTGTTTGGCTTTTTTTCTCTGTCTCTTGTTCTCTTGTCGCGCTCCCTCTCTCTTTTCTCAAGTCTCACCCATTTTGTCTCTCTCTCACCCCCACTTCATTTTTTGCAGTGATGCAGCCTGTCAAACATCTCATGCAAAAAAAAAGGAAACACAAATGGATTTCAAGTGCTTGTGTGTGTGTGTGAGTGTGAGTGTGAGTGTGTGTGTGTGTGTGTGTGTTTGTCTGTGTGTGTGTGTGTGTGTGTGTGTGTGTGTGTGTGTGTGTGTGTGTGTGTGTTTGTTAGTGGGAGTGTTAGAGATCAGAGGCACAGCAGCAGGAAGGGATAGAGGGAGGGGTCGATGTTATTTTTCCTCTCATATTAATGCTATTCATTAGCCTTGTCTAATTAATTCAGTGCCTCCTCCTCCCTTCATTTTGCTATATCTTGCTTCTAGACCTTCCTCGCTTCTACCTTCTTTTCCCTTTTCACTCTCTATCCGTTTTTTTGTTTGTTTGTTACCAGACAATGTAATCACTTTGATGTACCCCTGACTCCTCATGCAGCACCATTAGGTCCAATAGATAGAAGATGCTGAACATGATATACCGGAAATTATACAATCAGTACTTCCACCTTCGCACGTGCAACATATCCAACTGCCAACTAAAGTTAATAAAAAGAAAAGCACAATGTTCTTCCAAAAACTACATTTTCTTACATATAATGTAATTTTATATACTGTATATACACCGATCAGCCATAACATTATGACCATCTGGGCACCTTGGTGGTCATAATGTTATGCAGCCCCCGTACACAACAAACTACAATGCACTGGGGTGTTCTGACACCTTTCTATCAGAACTAGCATTAACTTTATCAGCAGTTTGAGCTACAGTATCTCGGCTGTTGGATCGGACCACACGGGCCAGCCTTCACTCCCCACATGCATCAGTGAGCCTTGGTGAGCCTGTTCCCGGTTCACTGCTTTTCCTTCCTTGGACCACTTTTGATAGGTACTGACCACTGCAGACTGGGAAGACCCTGCAGAAGAGCTGCAGTTTTGGAGACGCTCTGACCCAGTCATCTAGCCATCATAATTTGGCCCACGCTTGTCCGTTTTCCTGCTTCTAACACATCAACTTGAGGACAAAATGTTCACTTGCTGCCTAATATATCCCACCCACTGACAGGTGCCATGATAATAAGATAATCAGTGTTATTCACTTCCCCTGTCAGTGGTCATAATGTTATGGCTGATATAATTTTCTCCCCCTGCCTGCCAACCTCCCCATATCCCTACTTTTCACTCTCCTTGCTTTCCTCTCTTTTCCCCTCTCTTGCAGTCCCTTTCCTATTGTCTGGATTAACTCAAATTTACTGAGTGACGAGGAGGCAGCATAGGTTTTGTGTGTGTGAGGGAGAGAGAGACAAAGACAAAGAGACAGGGAGAACTTGTTTTTGCACTTTGCATCTCTCCCCTGTTGCCACCCACCATCATCAACCACCCTCTCTCTGGAGTTTATCAGCATCTGTACTGCTATCAGTTCATGGGGGTTTAGGGACGGCTGGATGGTCTAGAGAGAGAGAGAAAGACAAAACGAGCAGACAGCATTAGAGACAGACAGAGGAGAGAGAGAGAGGGGCGGGTGTAACTAAAGAGTACAAAACTAAGTTCATACAAACTCACTTAGAAAAAAAACACACACACACACAGGGAGCAGGAAGAAGGTCAGGGGAGGATTAATGGCTGGGCTCTGATAGATAAACTAATCAAACAAACAAAGACTTCAACACGCACACACATTAAAACACAGACAGAATGTAAAGCAGACACACACTTGAATAACTAGACAGAGACATTGAGAGATTGAAAGAGAGGAGGAAACCCATAAAGATGAATGGCACAAAAAAGTTTTGACAAACGCACGCACACAGAGCAGTCTATAGTTTTGTTGACTTTGAATAGAGTGTCGGCATTCCCTTCTCTAAGGGTTGGGTTTGCAGACATGGATTAAGTCCTTGACAAAAAAGTATTTTTAGCACAGTGAATGCATCCATGGAAAGTTTTGTCAATCTAGAATGGTGCTTTTCAAACTTGTCCTCAAGAGACACATACTTTCAAAACAGTTTTTCTGTCTTTTTTGGATGTCTGTATGTGTTCGTATTTGTGTGCCAACACACGTACTTGTATCTGACTCCTTGCCAACAATTCATGTTTTTTTTTGTCTTTCTCTGTGTTACGGTCCCTTTCTCTCTTCCTCACTTTGTCTGTATGTCGTGTTTTCTGTTTCATGCATGCGTGCATAAGGCCATTTTTACATTTGTTTTCCAGTTAATGTTAGCTTGTGTCACACTAAAAAGGGGAGATAGACTGGTGTTAGTCCATCAACAGAGTTCCCACAGGATTTGGGCCACCATATTTCAACAAAATCACTGACATAGTTTGTTACTATATTAGAGACTTGGTGCCGTAAGGTGTTACACACTTGTCCCGACCCAGAGACCAAAAATGACATAGTGCAAAAACAGGCATATAGGGCGCAGACTGGAAATGTTTGTGTTGCATCAAAATTATTTTTCATGATGTTTTTTAGAGGTAGAAAAAATAAATGATGGGGCTTTAACATTTCCTTTGAAAACTGCACAGTACCTACCTAATACTACCTAAACAAAATATTGGAGAAAACTCTTCAGTATGCCTTAGATCTGTCTCTTGATTTGTCTTCATCCTAGAAACAACACTTTCCATAATTACATTTTATTTCAGTGTGACAGAACATGTGCTTGTATTATATTTTAGGATACTAACATTACATATTTTGTTTTTTGTCCACTTTTTATTTGTGTGTTTTAATTGTGTGTTTGTGTGTAGTCTGACTAGAACAGTGGAGATCCTGGGAGAGGACAGTCCTCTGGGAATCCATGTGGTTCCTTACTGCTCATCACTCAGTGGACGGTGAGTTATGTGCACACAGACACACGTACAAAAATGCATGCACACAAAAACAATAAAATACCTGTAAAATATCTGTCTGAGCCCTTTAACCTCATAAAGACCTGTCTGTTTACCAGCTACAGTATTTCCTACAGTTATATTCCCGTAATCCTGTTCTGCACAAGGAATTCTAGACGTTGGCACTACAGTACACAAACATGGCAACTACACACACAATGGAAAAGAAAATAAAAAGAAAGAAAAACTGTACAGCTATGTGGGGCTTTTCTTTGGGTGTGTGACAGTCAGACAGTGGATGGGGATTTCCTAAAGGAAAGCAGGATGAGTTTTTATGGCTGTTCTCATGACTCACCTGACCCTGCCAATCTCCTCCTTAAATTCCTTTCTCTCTCCGTTCTCCTTTCCCGCTCTTAACCTCATTTTCTGTCCTTTTCTCCCTCTTTCGTGAACACGTCCTCCATCATTTTCCACCATTTACCATCATCCCATTCACCTCTTAACCTAATTTAATCCTTTCTTCTCTGTCAGTGTCATCACCTCCGTTTTTTTAAGCTTTTTTTTTTGGTGAAGCAACGGTAGTCATTAAGGACCGATAAAACTGAAATAGTCTTGAGTCTATCCTACCATCTGCCTCTATATATCAGTGCCTTTATATCTGTCCCTTTATTATGATAATCTACATATCTGTTCGCCTTTATATCTTGTTTACGTGTGTGCTTGTCCGTCATATTGTCTTTGCTACTCTACCTCTCTGTCTTGTTATCTTATCTACTAGTGTGACCACTGTGTTCCTAGCTTGTCTTTTATCAGTTAAAGGTGGATTGTATAGATTGCACAGATAGAAACTCAGCATAAGACACGAACAGACAGTTAGGGGGTGTATCTGACATAGCCTTGTCTAAGTAAACCATATGGATGGTCTCTGTGGGCTACCCCATCAGACACATCAGTCCCCTGGGACACACACTGAAAGTCACTCTAAGAAAGTGTGTGTGCTTGTGTGTGCAAGGTTTTAACATCCCTTAACCCCCCCCCCTTCTGTCCTATTAGGTCTCTTGGTCTGTACATTCGTGGAGTGGAGGAGGAGAGTCGCTCAAGAAAAGAGGGCTTGTTCGAAGAGGACGAGTGCATCGTCAGGATCAACAGCACCGACCTCATGGACAAGACATTTAGCCAGTGAGTGCAGCACTGTATGGGTGTGTTTGATAGCTGCAAAAGGATGTCCCAAGGTTATTAGAGAACAAAATAAACGTGTCTATCACTACCATTTTATTATGTTATAACACAGTGCCGGCTTTAGCTTTAGCTTTTCTGCTAAAATGAATAGATACAAAGTGAGAAATTGCAGAACTATGACTGCAGATCCATGCTTATGTAATGAGGACCATGGAAGAGCAAATGCTCATCTTACAATTAAAGTGTATGTTCAATTTATGATTTTAGATCAATATAGAGATCTAGGTCCTATTAATTTAAAGACACAGTTCAACCATATTTAAAAAAAAAAAAAAGGTTTGCTGCCAAGGTTTATGTCTCCATCCTTGTACAATGAAGATGAATGGGAACCTAAACTGCTACTGCCTAAAAAATGAATCAAACGAAAGTAATTAAAATGTAAAATAAAATATGTGTCCCCTACATAAAAGTATGAGAAAAATAACAAAAAATGTGCCCTAAGTGTACATATCAGTAGATGCATTTCATGTCTAAAACCTTTTGAAGTCAGGTCTGGCCTGTCTTTTCTTCCTGTTTCACTTCTCTTTTTGCTTCTGTGCATCTTGTTTCCCTTTCCATTGTCAGAGGGCTTATATCAGTATTGCACTGCCATCATAGAGAACAGCAGAAAAGACACTTGGCAGATGTTTGGAGAGCGCTGCTTCCAAATTCATCTGTCTGTGTGTGTGTCTGTTAGAGCTGGCCTTTGTGTGTGTGTGTGTGTGTGTTTTTCAGTAGAGTTTGCTTACTGTGCCACTGTAGCAGATGAAAAGAAGTACATTAACATGAGAGTATTTGGGGATGTAACATGATTACAGAGCATTGAAATGACAAAAGACACACCTGTAAAAACGATTGCTACAGATTACAAGGACTGATGAGGATGTTATAATGATTACAGCACATTACGGTGTCTATACAGTCTACACAATAGCCCTTGTCCAGCCTTCAGTGGGGTAATACGATTATATGTGAGGTATTTTATGCTGCAGTGTAGGTAAATGGATTATCACCAGAGGGTGGTTTGCGCCTATTGTTCAAAGACATGTGTATAGTCCCTTGTGCGCTCACTCACAAACACCAATACACACGCACGCACATACAGTTTTTCACCCATATAACTTATAACACATATCTGTACGTATGTGCAGATTAATGTCAATATGAATAAAACAATCTAGTATTTGATCTGGTATGTGATATAGACAGGCCATTTCTCAACTTTCAATGGGCTTGAGTGTGATCTTACACACACACAGACACACACACACACACACACACACACATAGTCTTGCCAGTATTGTTCTGTCGTGGCAGGTGTATTGAGATGTGTAGCTGGGACCAGTTAAATATGTGTAAGTAGGCCACAGAAAGTCCACTGATCCCTGTGAGTGCCATGTCCACACACACTTACACACCCCCATTGTCCCAGCTTGGCAGCTGTATTGAGGTAGCTTGCTTAATTAGAATATCTCTTTTACACAAATGTGCCTGCACACGTTGTCCAATCAGGAACAATAATGATATCATCTGTGCACAATTGTCCCTATACACACATCAATCAAATGTAGCTTCATTGTTCTGTATTGTGGTCTTAATACAATGAAAATTACTACAAGTGTCATTCAGCAAGGTGTGTGACACAAGCACTTGCTTAGACTGCCTTGTGTGTTTAATAGTTTCAATATGCAAATCCTGTCGGAGTAGAATGAAGAAGAGATGGCCACCCATCTCCAAACACATACACACATTCATATTTGAAACACTTATTACTTAGTGCATCATTCACAAATGTTGGCCCTTGGGTTTATATGCAGAATATGAATGGGTTGCTCAGTCCCCTACAATAGCTGGCAGGTATAAGTCTTCATACTTCATGAACACAATTTAGAAAGTTTTACCCATTGCTTAACAATTTGCACAATATAATTACTTAGAATTACAATGGAGCTTCTCTTACCCCCACCTTCTAAACACCCAACATACAGTATGATATGTGCAAATTGAGTTAAGTATACTAAGAGTTACAGGTACATTCACTTGGAAGCCTCGGTCTAAAAAAAGGCTCAGTGACTATAATACATAGTAGATACCATGAAAATAAGTTGGTCGTAAATGTAAATTATATATACTTTAAGCATAGTTGATTTCCTCTGGTCGTTAAGGGGTGAATTTATCTATGATGCCATTTTATCAACATTTTATCACCAGTTTTATGTCCGTAATTCTTCCTCTTATATTAAAATATACAATTTTATTGTATTATTATTACATATTTAATGTATTCAAGTGTGTATATCCTTCTTACCTGACTTTCTAAACATAGTGTCTAGTTACAGAAACATTATGATCATTATACATCTAATAATAATCTCGCCATGAAATAATAGGAGTGTAATCCAATAAAATTTAAATAAACTGGATTTTCTCTGTCGGTTATCTGAGGTGAATGATGGTGTGCACCAATCGCCTCTGACACAGTGGTCCCTCTAATTTACTTAGCATAATCTGATATAAACTAATTCTCTACAAAATTGTCTCTTTTATGGATCATGAGATTATAATGGGCTGGTGTACAGGTGTCATGGTTCTGTGTTTGATCTTCTGCTTTAGCCCGCCTTGAGTTTATCTTGTAGCTCAGCAACAGACGCAGTGACCCACCAGAAGTAACTACTGACAAATGGAAAAAAAAAGATACAAATAGATAGAGCATAGAGGTATACAAATTATAATAATGATATACAGTATAATGCAGCATAGATGATGAAGAACTACTGTTAACAAATAACAATGACATACATCTCATTCTTAAATATGTGTTTTATTTTATATAAATGAAGAAATGCATTTATACAGTACTAGTTGTGGGAAAGCGACAGAAATAAAAAACAAACACTGAGATTTGAAGAACCTGGGTTTTTGATCTGATCTGATTTGGATTCACTTTATTTTCAGATTTCACTGACATTTGTCTTGCATCACAAGGCGTACACTATATCACAAACGTAACAAAATAAAGCATTTGGAGAGAACCCAGTGTTACATAACTTCTGGTCTACTAAGAAACCGACATTTTATCACAAGATTTACTTGGATTAATTGAACCAGTCGGTTAGGTCCCACCCTCTCAAGTACCAGTATTTGTTACTTTTCTGTGTGTCACATTGTAAATTTAAAATGAGATTACAAACGGTTTCATTATTTCGGACCTTTAAGAGACTTGTAATCAGTTGGATTCATTGAAAAAGAATGGCCAATGAAAACATGTCTTAGTTACAGTGATACTCATCAGTCTTGGAATTGACAGTCACTTAAAATCAGTTTAGTAAAGGTGTATGAGCATAACATATGCGGTGTGTTACAATTTTTGAAAATCTTACACCACATTTATAATAATTAGCAATTAATTGAAACTCTTAATTTGTCATTTGTAATCAGATTTTTACCTTGTGTCTTGTATTATTATTTTTGTCCTAATTGAGTTATACATCCTTTGCTTGTCAGAGATTGATAACTACACCCTATTTGTAATTGTGATTAATGGCATGATTAGTTTTAATGGTGCCATATGTACTACACATTAGGGCTGTAACGGTTCTGAAACCGAGACTGAAATCGCGACACAAAAGTCCACGGTCTTGTGTCGCGGATCAGAGAGACAACCGCGACACACTCGCTCCCTGGACTGTTGAGCTCTCGTTAAGACAGTGTAACTGGCGGCGGCCAGTGGTGTGGTAGCGGTGTACGCCTATATCGTTAATATATTGACAGTAGGTTATTCTAGGTCATTTTCCACCTTATTTTAGTGTTTATTTACTACTTTAATCTGCTCCCTTTCTCTTCTACCCACACTCAGACACAGCACACACACCTAGCCTGGACCTCTGGTCACTCACGGCAAACACGCCCACTTGCTCCGCCTCTTTCTGTCTCTCTCTCCCTGTGTGTGTCTCTGCTCAGTCCTTCCAGAAAAATCCTTGATTATGCGGCACGTTTTCTTAAAAAATGCGATGGAATATGCGGGATATTTATTCAATTTTATGCGATGAAATTGCGGGAACTTGCAAAAACTGCGGTTTGATGAAAAAGAGAAAAAAAAGTGATTCCCCCAACACCCTGTTTTCACTAGGCTACTACTTTAATGTAAAGGGTCATTTCTTATTACTTCCTATGATAAGCAAGCATACTACATCACAGAAAGTGCTGGGAATATTTAAGTTCTCATCTTGTTTAATTTCAGACCTTAATAAACACATGGCTCAAACTTACAAAACATCGATTCCCCCCCCCAAAAAAACGGGGAAAACCGAGGTATGAACCGAACCGTGGCTCAAAAATCGAGGTCTGAACCGAACCGTGGATTTAGTGAATCGTTACACCCCTACTACACATACTTAATGAACAAAACTTTTTGTCTACTGTTCCCACTCACCAATCACACACCTGTCTCTATCTCCCTTCCTCTCACCCTCCCAGAGCCCAGGAAGTGTTCCGTCAGGCAATGCGTTCCCAAGTTGTCCGTTTGGAAGTAGTTCCCTCCTCCAGCAGAGAACACTACGAGAAGAATCTGATTGGTCAGCTGTTTGGCAACGGCGCCGGTCCTGACAGCAGCCACCGCATCTCCAAGACCAAAGAGCCACCTCCACCTGTCAAAGCCAAACCTGTGTTTAAGCCCTCTGAGAAGCCAACCACGCGATTGGCAGAGGAGGCTGCCACTATGGAAGCTGCTGTTAGTGTACGTTGCTCTGCTCCAAGTTGACCAAACACATCTTGACCTTTAGAACTTTCTGAGAGATTTTAAATCTCACCTACATACAGTATGAGCTAGTTACAGGATCACTTTTGAAATAGAAATTACTGAAAATACAATGTAGATGCCACAATATTGTTAAATTGGAGAGGTTGTTCTGAGTCTAGCAAACAAACTCACAACATAAACATTGAAGTTCTCCTACTTTATCACATCTGTGTGCAACAGCTTTCTGCACAACTTTCTTTGAGAACATACAAGCTTGAATGCTTCCACCAACCTCCTTCCAACTAGTTTTTCGGCCAGAATATTTCCAATAGCAGTTTCTCTCAGTCTTTCCACACCCTGCACATACTGTATTCTTCTGTATTTTATTTTCATGCTTCTTTTGTGACTTTGAATTCTGCTGGGTTTGTGTTCAGTTTTTTTGACACACACGTAATAGCATCATCAACATTACCATGGTGACATGGCTGACATTTGAGAAACAGCTGGTATACAGGCAACAGTTACTTAGCAACAGCTGATTATCATCTTATTTTATAAAAAATAAATATATATATATATATATATATATATATATATATATATATATAAAAAGAAATCTCATCGATTCTTTAATGCAGATACATTATTTTCCTTAGTGATACATTGGGTTTGGCACAGTACAGCATTGATGGCTTTCTGTGATACTTCCTTTTCACTGTGTTTGGATCATTTTTAATTTTTAAGAAGTTAATCTCCACACAAAACCCACAGTAGCAAAGTAAAAGCATGTTTGAGAAGGTAATCTCTAAGAAATGCTTAATAAGTGGATGCCATTCACAGTGTTTTAAAATCAACAGCTTATAGAGCAATTGATATCCAGAGGGTTTATATATGATGACAAATAGAGGCAATTCAGATCTGCAAATGGGGCATTTAAAATGTCATCTTCTCTTGTAGCCTTACTTTGTGTTTTAGTGCTTTAAAATTGACTTCAATGCTCTACATTATCCACGTAGACACCCAAGGGGAGGAGTGAGAGCCCCCTCCTTAAGAAAAGTCCTGCCCTCTCCAGCTTGGTGGCCAATAAGAGAGGAGGACGAAGACTGAGGATCGATCTAAAGAAAGGTGAGGAACACCTGGCTAAGTCAGGCGTCTTTTTGGAGAGGTCTCAGGTCAGCAGGGTTCAGCAAATGTTACTTACTGTATGTACTTTACTGACAAGTGGACACATTTCAGAAGACTCTATTCTCTTATGTTTGATCTTTTGATGCAATTTGTACTTTGAATTCACTCTGCTCATTTTCAACACTTATAGAACACTTCAACATTTAGAAAAATACATGTTCTTTTCTCTCACTGTGCAAATAATGACTATTATGTAGCCATTTGGATTGCCAAAAAGAAATTGGTTTGTTGTGTGTGCATATCAGATCAGCACTTTGCTTTTAGAGATTCAGGTACAACTAAAAAGGTTTCTAGAGTCACAGTTTATTTGTATATATTTTTCCACTTTTCTTGTTTTTCTTTCACATTCAGTCTGTAATATAATTTTCACTATACATAACTCTCTGTTTCTCTCCATTTATCTGAATGTATATAATTGACCCGCTTATTTCTCCTACCCAGCATTGTGCTTATTTTTATAAAGCTTCCTTTCTCTGTACCCCGGGTTACTCCCCTTCCTCTCTCCATCTTCCTGATTCCCTCTCTTCAGGGTCTATTAAGTCTTTATTGATCTGTTCATTTCTGCTGATATGAATTCATACTGGACCAAACTGCTGACTTGGCTCTGCTAAAGAGACCAGACTAAATGAAGTCTATAAAACACACAGCTAGTCTCACTGTCTGTGTGTGGTCTTTTTTTTTTGTTCATGAATGTGTGTTTATGAGTGCTGTCACACAATGCACGTGTTTTTCACTGATTACTATTTTAATCTTCATCACTTCTCTTTCCAGAACATTCACTCTCTGTTTCCGCTGTGTTACACTCATTCCTCTTTTACCTTTTCCTCATCTCTTCCTCATTTTCTTCTCCTCCTCTTTGCCCCGCACCTGAACCCATTTTTAAAACCTTCACACCTACAGACACTGTAGCACCAGCTATAGCTAAAGGGTTTAAAGCAACACACACACACACACACACACACACACACACACACACACACACACACACACACACACAATCTCCAAAGGCTTTACATTACCACACTTAAAGTATGTAGTCAGGAGCTGAGTCAACTTCACTGTGTTAAGGTTCTCAGGAGTAGTTTAGGGTGTGTGTGTGTGCGTGTGTGTGTGTGCGTGTGCGTGTGCGTGTGCGTGTGTGTGTGTGTGTGTGTGTGTGTGTGTGTGTGTGTGTGTGTGTGTGAGGATGGATAGGAGATTTTAACTCTCAAAGCTTGTGGAAGACAAATATAGAGGCAGATAGCAAACAGCTATACTGGATATACTGTATGGGACTGTTACTTATGCTTATATTTTGTACCTCACCTCTCTATTCACACTACTTTGCGTATGTGTGTGTCTAGGTTCAGAAGGTCTTGGTTTTACTGTGGTAACCAGAGATTCTTCAGTCCACGGTCCTGGTCCCATTCTTGTCAAAAACATTTTGCCACGTGGAGCCGCTGTCAAAGATGGACGCCTGCAGTCTGGAGACCGCATACTTGAGGTACAAAGCAGCTGACTGTTACTAGACTCATGCAGACATTTAAAAAAAGGACATCCCCTTTGATGTAAGGATTTGAAAGGTTATGCTGATATTGGGGGTGTTTTGACTTGATCTGTGTGTGTGTGTAGGTCAACGGTGTGGATATCACAGGTGTGGGCCAAGAAGAGTTGGTGTGTATGCTACGCAGCACTCGGCAGGGAGAGAGCGTGTGTCTTGTGGTTCTACGGCAGGAAGACATGTTCCTGCCCCGAGAGATGGTAAGAACCAATCACAATGCTGTATTCTCAGCCCATTTCAACAAGACTTTCTGGTTGGTTGGAAGGTCAGTGGCCAGTTATAAAAATAATGGTTTCTTACTTATTTATCTAACAAGGCAGCCAGAAAGACAGGCGGACACACTACTACATTACCAGTTTTTGTTTCAAATTTCAGCTCCCTCTAATTTTTCAATCTTTGGTCCAATCAACAGGCTTGCCTGGATGATGCACAGCTCAGCAGCCTATAGGAAGGTTTATTTTTTTAAGCGTGAACCCCAAATGTCATTGAGGGCTTTTTCTGAATAATTTGAAAGATGATACAATGCCGTGTCCAATAATGTTCTCCTTTTAAACCTACCAAGCAATCATGTAATACAGTATTGAACAGAACTCCATTCTGATTGAATCAAATAACCCCATTGTATATTGATTTTGGTCAAATGTTTTGCCAGTCTTTCCCTGCCACATTGTTTCTGCTGAATTTCAACCCTGTTTTGATTAATAAACACTTAATTTATTCATCTTTGCTCTATTTTTCCATGCTTTTTCTTTGATTCTGACTCTGCATGATCAATGCCACTGATAGCTCTACTTATAAATTTTACCAACTATAGGTAATAATATATATTTTTCTAAATTTCTTGCTATTCTCTGACGGTCTCTTAGCCTGTTACTGTTTGCTCTTCAACCCAATAACTGAAAACTATAATTTTCCTTATTTAAACATTTTATTCTTTTCCATCTGCTTTCACACTTGTACATTAAATCTGTTGCTTTTTAGGCATCTATTTTCCGGAAAGATTTTCTCGAAGGCAAAGGAAGAATTCTTGCAGAAAGTTATTTATTTATTGTTGGTTTTTAATAACTTTTAACCACAACCACAAAAACCTGCACTACATTTACACAACTACATTTTCTGTTATGTCTTCAAACATGTCAAAACGTCAGAAACAGCAATGAATATCCATACTCTGGTTAATATGTAGTCATGCTGCAGCTAATATCATGACATGGTTCCCGATTGTCATAGTAACAGAACACTGTCTTAAGTCAGAAAAATAGCAAGTGTCAGAGGAAACGACAGAAAGCTTTGACACAATTAACAGCTCAAAGAAATGCTGATAAATCTCAGCCCTCATCAAAAGCCTACAACTTAAAGGTGTCACTTTGCTGCGCACAATACATCCCCTTACTTTATAACATTTTAAGACCACCATGTTTCATTTCACCCAAGGAACAGGTCTAAAAACATTAATCTGAAAATGAAAAGAAATGATTTATGTCAGATTTTGCTATTAACTAATTTCCATCTACAGTCTCTGGGTAGGTACAAACCTATCCACCCATCACTCGTGTCTTTGGTTCTTTTTATGTTGTCTTTTGTATTTTATTTCCCTTTGTGTCTCCTTCCGCTCTTATCGACTGATGTTTCCTGAACGGCTGCCAGGAAGTTCCACACACACACACACACACACACACACACACACACACGTGCATATGCGACCCTGAGCCCCATAGGAAATTCTGTTTCTGCAGACAGGAAAAGGAGCAATGAGTTGGAGTGTGTACATGTGTTAACATTTATGATCTTTTATAAATGTTGTATCTAGTCCATAGTTTCTCCTTGTACGCATGTCTGAACTCGGTGGCAGTCTTCTTTTGTGCTGACCAAGTGTTGCTGAATACGTCTACTCATACACACAAAATTCCTACTACAGCAGTACTCCTAATACTTCCTTAACAAACTATGCTTGAAAGCTCTTTTGATAGCTAATTCATCATAATGTTTTACATTACTTTTCTAGACTTTTCTAAAATGTACCCAGAGTAGGATACAAGCACAATACATTGCGGTTGATCAAGGTAGAAACCCCACACTAAGGTGATGACGTGCATGTGTGTTACCATGGTTACGAAATGATTTGCATATAGTGTGGCCTCAATGGCTTATACACATCACTTATCATAAGATCGCTTCCTGAACAGTTCATGGTCAGCAAATGGATTTAATTGTTTGCCTTTGAAATCAGTTTAAATTAACATCTGCAATCACAAAATACTGCGGTTACTGTTTTCGTTCAGACCACAAACGAAACACACCGGACTCCTCTTGGAACTTAACTTACACCCTCCTTTTCAGGCTGTCTTTGTCAGGTTGTTAAGTCTCCATCAAACCTCTATTGACAAGTTTCCTTGCACAGACAAACAACACTAAATGGCAAACGCAGCAGGGTTCATTTTAACTAAACCATGCTAGGTGTGAAAGCCCCTGAAGTGTATTTGTTTTACCCTGATGACTTGTTTAAGTTGCACAGTATTTTTATGGCTTTTATCTTTTCGCCAGCTTCCACTACAACAGTTTAACTTTTTGAGCCGGTTTACATACATCGACACACGAGTACAAGACCAAAATATCACTCACCCAGTCAGGAAATGTACCTCCCTTTGCTCTGACATTATTCATACAGATGCTCACTAGGTCGCACTCAATTGTTCACAGTAAGAAAAGAAATGTCTGCGTATTGTACTACTATTGTACTCCATAGAAAACTACGCACCAAAATGTCTCCCATAGGTGAAGTTTTGTTTTCAAAATTGTTTGTCTCTTTATCTGGAGGGCTGCTTAATCCAAGCAGCGATCCAAGGACACTGCTGGTGTATGCCTGTGTTTACGGATGTGTGCGTGCTGTTGTGTATGGTGTGTGTGTTTGTGTGTGTATGCACTGAAATGTATTCTGTTAATGACATGTATTGTATATTCCCACTCTTCATGTACACAGTGCTCAGGCAAACTTCAAAGGCAGATTCTTAGTTTTAGATTATATTTTGAAAAACGGACAGTGGTATTAGCTTAGTCATGTTCATGTGTAGACCCATAAGGCCTTTGGTTCCTCTTTCCTGTATTTGGTCAGTTTTATAGGGTTATTTTGTTTGTCATAGGCAGAAAAAAGCTTTTTTGTTCTCTCATTTAAGCCTCTCTCTCTTTTTAAATGTAGGTGAGCTTCTGCAAAGCCTTCTAATTTTCATTATAAAAATGATCTGTGTTGTAACAGTAATTAACCTTAATTTGTCTCTCAAACTATGCAGCGTTGGGTCCTTTAATTTGAGGTTATCGGACCTGGAATATCCTTACAACGTCCTTGAATTTGATTGATTTAGTATATTGAGTTAGTCAAGAAATGCAAGTTCTGTAACTGTAACACACATATCAATATATAGAAATGAAAATGAAAGCAAATATCTATTTGACTGCAATTGCACAGCAAATGCAAAAAATGACATTAATGCAATGACAGGTTTATTGGAGTTTATTTGGGAGTACATAAGGAATCCGCATCAGCGTCATTACATTTCTTTGGGGGAAAAATCACAACAATGTCAGATTAAATTTTTGTTTCATTCATCTGAATGTGGTCATGAATTTTAATGTATTTTTCCTAGTTCAGATATCCAGAGATCCAAGGCAGTATATCAGGAAGGCTTTATTTACTTCATTGTTAACAGCTGACGCTGTTGGTAAAGAGGTGTTTGGGATATCCCCAATACACTCTTTAAATGTGAGAATTGGAGTTTACGCTGTCGCTGCTGAATTTTAATGAACGAGGATGCAAATTATATCCAGGCAAAATTGAACAGATGTGGTGGAAAGATGTATAAAGATGTATTGGTCGAAAGGCAGACAGATGAGGCTCCAACCCCATCACTCTGAAATGAAGGATGAGTATGAAAAATGGATGGATTGACTCTTCATTGCAGTTCAGTGTGAAAACTGATGAATTACATGAGTAAGCTGCAGTTTCTCATAGGCACGCTTAGCTCAGCTTGAATACATCATTCTAGTTAGATGATGAGTGTGTGTGTGTGGGTGTGGATGGATGAATGGATGGATGGATAAAGATATTAAGACTGAGGAAGATGTGGGATTCCAATCAGGAAATGGAGCAGTGAATCTCCTCTGGCTTTGGTAGTATTTGATCAAAGAAAACAACATAAAATCAAGTGTTGTAAAAAGTATTGTTTTATGTGTGTGAGTGAGGGACATGGATTATCAGTGTTGTCTTTCGCACAGTTTCTTTGTACGGTATTTCAATCAACAGACTGCCTGCCTTTACCTTTCTCTACTCACCAAATGTCTCCCTCACCCTCTCCTCCTGACTGACAATACACCCCAGTAGAATTCACCTCTGTCTAATTAATGGCTGATGGTGTTCAGCAGTCATAACAGTTTACAAGAACAAATGCAACTGTAAAACTTGCACAGTGAAGCTGTGAATGCACTCCTCTTTAAACATGTTATAGTGTGTGTGATATATGTGTGAGTAGCATAAAACTAGATGAATATGAGGGGTCTATTTGTTCAGTATTTCAGTCTTGTATTGCCAGAAGTGGACGTTTAAATGTAACATCAGGAAGAGCCTGGCCCAAAATAGCAAACCAGCCCTGTGTAGAAATAAAAAGCTAAAAAAAACTACCCAAAGGGTAAAGTTACAATGCTGAGCCTTAACTCTATATCAACAAAAAAAGCAAAAACAAGAAAAACCCAACAAAAAAACAGGAGAAAAGTGAATGTAACAAAAATGTCTCTCCTACGTGGCTTCCTGGCAAGGAGTTAAACATAAAAGAAAATAGCTAATAATTAGTAATTAAACTGAGAACTTCTCTTTTTCTGACCTTACCCTGACAACAGCATGGCTCAAAGTACATAAACACTCTGGGTGTGAACAGGCCGCCGAAATGGACAAGAGACCCAGAGGTGCAGCTCCTCACTCTCACCCTAACCCCTAGCATACCCCCAGAGGAGGAGGAACTCGAGCTGAAACCCACAAAAGCGCAACACAGCACATCATAACACATTTTATCAGTTACACATGAGTGTAACTATGAGTGTGTCCTGAAATCCCCCCTCCTACATACACACTGTGGGAGTGGGGATTTCAGGGCAGTGGTAGTCATCCATTACCAGCTGTTTAGTGGTGAGTGGTCTGCTCCTTGATTACCTT